CCTAGTTGGGCTAATATCGGTACTGTAGTACCGCAATATTGCTTTAAAAACAATTCAATGTTGATATATGCTAAAAGCTGTTTTTAAAATAAATTAACAACAAATGGCCTCGATCAACATGAAATCTTGCATTTGTTTTAATGAGAAAACATTCGAAAAACAATAAATTTCGTCCGACTTGATGGAAATACTTTGTAACGTTGAATTCCACTGCCACGACATGTTATAACATATATTGTCATCCCTTTCATTCTGTTTGACAAAAAAGAGATTGCGATATGTACTAATACATTATCCACCAACAGTGAATGTCTACGGTCAGGTCTGCTTACAGTCTTCTCTTGGCAAGCGGGAGGTATTTCCTGGACGCATGAGTCACCTCGGCCGAGGATTATTGGCATTTTTGTGCGGTCGGCTCCGAATTTTAATTACAAAATGGCTAATTATAGCGCTCGTCCAAATTCTTCGTCATTAAAATTGCTTTAGCTCTGTGTTTAATACAAAGTAATCGAATAACATTAAGAATTTTTTCGATCCTACATATTCTGGTAATCTTACTAATATTATAAATGTGAAAGTTTAGATGGATGGATGGATGGATAGATGGATGTTTGTTAGACTTTGTAGCCTAAACGGCTCAACCGATTTCGATAAAATTTGGTTTAGATGTAGAGGATAGTCTGGAAGAACACATAGGCTACTCACTTTTATTTTTTTTCAATGCCACGCGAACGGAGTCGCGGGCGAAAGCTAGTTATAATATAAATGGCACGCATAAGTAAAACTACTAATTAAAGAAAAGCTCAAGAAATCAGATTACTGTACCTCTACGCCTTTGTCTGTTGTAAATCAACCTATTTGAGCTATAAGATTTTTTATACAATGATGTGTCGAACAAAAGAGCGGCCACCCAAATCCGCTAAAATGGCGAAGCGACCGCTGCCCAAAGACATTCGCAACTGCAGATGCGTTGCCTACCCTAAATCGACGGAGGACACGCACATGAAGAGGATATTTCCCCTTCCTATAGTCCCATCCACCGTCAAATCTATTTTCCCATCAAATCTTTTCTTTATAAGAAAAGGGTGGAATGAGAAAGTGACTAAACTTAGACCTCCGGTACCACACTCATCAGACGAAACGCAGAATTGGTTACACTTCACGCCTGTCTTCTGTGTGGTCGTGGTATTGTACCGGGCGACCCTAAAGTGCGAAAACGTTAAAGCGGGCTCTACCACTGTTGATGTCATAAACCAAGTCGTAGAATCTGCAATATACTTTGGGTTTAGGGCGTGATTACATTGTTATTGATGTCGCTATTTAGTTTCTTGTAAAATTAATAATGTAAACATTTTGTTTACATTACGTGTTACTAGAAGTTCTTAGTGATGGTCTCACTCGAACAACATTTAACTGACAGCCAAATTAATTGTCTAACCAATGCAGCCAAATAACATGACGCGATGATGGATCGAGACGGGCATGACATTTCAATTGCATTGCGATATGTTGTAGTGATAGTGAATGTTAAAAATGCGTAGTTATCACAAACGACAAAGTTGTATACCTAACCTTAATATTTAGACGAATTACAAAAACTACAATTTCAAAAGCGTGTTTAATATAAATATTTATCATTAACAGGATAAGTTTGTAAGTATGTGGTAAATTATCAAATTGCAACAAGATAATTATGTAAGAAAATCTGAAACAAGGAAATTTTTTGATGTTCTCGCAGACATATTTTACTTTATATTAACACGCCATCTATTGTTCGATAGGACGAACTATTACCAGAATCAATACTATCTATGTCTTTACTTCTATACTAATGTAATAAAGCGTAAACACATACTACTTCGTGGCGTAGGATGTCAGCAATCACAGCATGTCTTTGAATAATCCTTTCTTAAATAAAGAGCCCTACGCTTACAACACGCTTTAGCCTATTTATTTTCACGCTATGGAAATTAGATAAATTGTAAAAAAAACCCTCATGTAGAAAAGGGACCATAAACAACAAGCTGCCAACATTAAGGAAGCAAGGTTATTATGGTAACGGTAATATTGACATTTGCAATTGAGTTTTAGATAAATGTAAACGATAAAGTTTTTTTTTTATAATTTTATGCGGATGAAGTCGCACGGGAACAGCTAGTTGAAACATAAATGCTTGTTGAGACGAGGCAGCAAAATTTTAGTTTGTAAATTGCGATTTAACAATAATGTAAACACTATAATCCAAAAAGTATAGTCCTCGTTATTTTCTAACATATTTTCAAATGAAAATTGAGTACACCTAGGCTTAAGTAACCTAGGTTAGGTTTAGGTTTTTTTACGGCATGTTCAGGTCAAGTCATCACATGTTTATTTAATTCATACAAAGATTCCAGAATTTTAGATTCATAATGACGTCATAGATGCATACCGAATCTTATATTTAACTCAATCTTGGCAAATATATAACTTTTAGCATGAGAACGTTGCATTTTAATGTAGTGGTCAGGGTCTTAGTGGCAAAATAAAATACACTGTTATTAAAATCCTTGGTTATCTCTTACTGGTTTTTACAAAATCTATCAAAGTTAATCATTTGACATTCAAATTTTCCCGCCTATTTTAAACCATAGAGTACAAAACGAAATCTTTTTAAAAAACGAAAAAAAATCACCAATAAATCGATATTTAAATTAGTACATTTCAAAATTTCGATTGATTGGTAATATTTTATTTGATTACAAAGTAATATTTAACTAACTTTCTAACCTAAGATTTAACGAACGTAAAACCCCGTTTCGACACCCAGACGTTTCCAAATTTAACCACAGCGTAGGTACCTTTTAATAGAACACGGCTGATTTTCATCGTGTGTCGTGTATTTGTATTGAAATTGTGTGTTTTTACGTTTACTGTGAGGAATATATGATATATAATGGATATATCTACTGATGTATGGGGCCAGTTGGCTCTTGAAGCCAGTCAGGTTTATCTGACTGAAGGTGGAGTCAGGAGTCCTTTCGCTGGCACGGTAATCAGATTGTTATGATGGCATTTTCTTATATTCATTTTTATGTTTAAATTAAATAATAAGAGAATAATTTTACTTGTAGATTATAGTAGAACTATTAGTAAAATTGCCGAAATAAAAAAAAACATGACAAGATGAATCTTAACATAACTCTCATTATATTAGAACAATTGCTTAGTTATATAGTTATGTAATTCGTATAGTTTTTAAGACATAGGAATGTATTCTTTGATAACAATTTAAGGACTTTCCTAGTTGTAATTAGATCAAGGTACTTGGAATCAAAAAATAGAATTCCATAAACATAGAGTAACCAAACGCAACAATAGTGATGTGTGTTTACTTTTCAGACCATAGAGAAACTTCCCGATAAAGTGCTACAGAATATTTTCTCGTATTTAAGCCACCGTGAAATATGTCGCATGGCGACAGTATGCAAGCGATGGCGGATGGTGGCATATGACACACGTTTATGGACCCACGTCAGTCTTCGGCCAGAGATATCCGGCCTGCATGTGGGTGAGTGATATTCATTTTTCCTGTCTTACAACGACCGGTTTATTTTGACAGCTGTCAGTGTGACTTTTAGTGATGTGCATTTTATATCCCAATCGATACAAACAATATAAACATGTTTTTAATTTTCAGGTTCACTGGAATCTCTATTGGCATTAATATCTATAAGATTCGGCCCTTCACTACGTTATATTGAATTGCCGATCGAATTAATTACACACACAGTGCTGCACGAATTAGCTGCTAAATGTCCTAATTTGACACATATGCTATTGGACTTTAGTACAGGTAATTTATATAAAAATATATTGAAATTCATTGAGTAAAATTTAACTAAACTTTTGTAAAAATATCATACGCCTATGAAAATAAAATAGCAATATGTTTCAGCTATGCAATTGCACGACTTCTCTGAGATGCAGGCGTTCCCAACCAAGTTGCGATACCTTTGCATTTGCCTGTCTGAAGTTATCTTCATGGAGGGTTTCATGAGAAAGATATATAACTTTATTAACGGACTGGAGATATTGCATTTAATAGGTACGTGTTTTATTTAGCAAAAATTCGACAAACATATTCTAAATTTCAAACTACTATTTAAAATATTTAAAGCGACGGAAAAAATAAAAAACATACTTATAGTATCATTAAAATATGAATTTAAGTAAAAGAAAATATTTGCAAAAAATAATTTGGAGGTGCAGGGATTTGAACCCTGGACTTTCAGCATGCGAAGCAGACACTCTACCACTGAGTTACACCCCCGGTGCGTAATGAGTTGAAATAGTCGAATATAAAAGAAACACACGGCGAAAATATTAGAAAACTAATTTTCCTATTCTGATTCTAAAAACATATACATAAATATGACGATAAAATATTATAAATATCTGCTCTTGATCACAATCACCAAATAACTAGCTTTCGCCCACGAAGCCGTAGGTCAAATTAAAAAAAAACTTGTTTGATAGCCTGTGTTCTTACAGACTAAGTACTACGTCTGTTCTACAGCGAGATTTGTTAAGCAGTCTCGGAAATAAGTAATAACATCCATCCAAACTTTCGCATTTATAAGATTTAGTACTAAATTTTTCTTGCGACTTAGATCGCGTAAAATTAAAAAAATATAGCCTATATTACTCACATATAAATTACCTTTCTAAGGGTGTAAGAATTTAAAAAATCGGCCCAGTAGATTTTGAGTTATTTCAATACATACAAAAAATCAAGTCTTTTCTCTTTATGTTATTAACTATGGTTAATGATTTTTTTTCTTTAGGAACGTATGAGAAGGTGGAAGAAGAAGAGGAAGAGATCTACGAGGTGATCAACGTGCACAAGCTGAAGTCGGCGACGCCCAACCTTAGGGTCATCAACCTTTATGGAATTAACTTTGTTGATGACTCGCATATAGACGCCTTCAGTTCTAATTGTATACAAGTAAGTTTACATATCCATAGAATAAAACAGAAAATATATAAATACAAATAACTGTGTTACTCGGAATTAGGATCAAACTGAACAGTTGAAGCAGAAATTACTTTAAAATAATTAGCAGTCTTTTCCTCTGGAGATTTAGAAGAATCCATAAAAAAGGGTCAAATTACTGATTTTCAAATAGGTCGTTTAAACATAAGTTTGAAAATATCTTTTAATTTTTTGACTTTGGTAAAATCTTATCTTCCGCTAACACTGGAGTGTTTATTCAAAACTAGTTTTTATGCTGAATTCTTTAGAGTCTAATTTGTATATAGTTGGAGTGTCTGGCGGTGAACTATTGCAACAAGGTGACGGGGTCTACTATGAAGACACTGTTCCAGCGCTCGCGTCGGCTCACCTGCTTGCTCATGAATGGATGCAGTTAGTCCTATATTAATTAATTTATTAAATCTACACTAAGTATAGTCTAAGGAGGGGTGAATCGCATTTAACAAGGTGGACGTTAGTTATGAATGGTACACCGGTAGAAGTGGACGTAGAAAGAGATGTATTGTGTGAAAGGTTACATCAAGAAGGGAGTGGTGACTGAGATGACAGATGATAGTTATTTGTAGGACGAAAACCCAGTGCCGCGACCCTTGCCGGAGTAGAATAAGGTAAAGGAGATGATGATGATGATCTAAGATCTAAGTAAAGTCTAGTGCATTCGAAATGAGATATAAAAATAAACTAATTTAAAGAATTTTACTTTAATAATTATGTAAACACAGACTGACAGACAATTTATGGTGAAATTATACTTTTTGGATAACAAATAAGGATAGTGGTTAAGGTTTCTTTTCCCAGGTCTACAGTCAGAGTACGTGATGCAAGTGGAATGGGAGAAGTCATCCATACAAGAGCTGGATGTGACCGCGACAGACCTGTCTACCGAATGCCTGATAGACATGCTGACAAGGATCCCTGGGCTACGTTTCCTGAGCGCGGGACAGATCAACGGGTTCAATGATACCGTGCTCAAAGCCTGGATGGAAGCGGGCACCGCCAGGTAAAATACGTTCCGGGATACGATTTCTTTGTGTAACAATAAGTTAAGACGTATCGTTTTTAGGACCAATTTGTTTTTTTAGGATTTACTCGACCATCAATTTTAATTTACACAGAAATAGTTAATATGTTTAGAGAGTAACGAAGATTTTTTTAATCTTATTAATTTTGATATTGTCAGCGTTTATGTTTAAATTTTTCTGTTGACGAAAGCTTAGAGCACACCTTTGACTAAACTATCGCACAACTGTTTTCTGCGATTGCAAATTTCGCAGCCAATTCAACTGATTTGTCGCACAACTAAAAATCGAGTAGTTTGTGCACCTCATTTATATGGTGCTTATGCTCGTGGGAATCAAAACGAGACTAAAATTGTGCGATAGTTTAGTTTCCGGTGTGCGCACGCTCAGAATTTTTACATTTAACACATAATTTGATTCCCTCGAAAGGATCCGTATTTCCAGCATTCATACTATTGCAATCTATTTCAATATGTTATAAGGAACCTGGTAGCGCTGGACGTAGACTCATCAGACAACCTGACGGACGAGGCGCTGCACCGCTTCCTGTCGCGGCACGGCAGCCAGCTGTGGGGGCTGGTGCTGAGCGGCATGCCGCACATCACTGACCAGCTCTGGCAGAGCGTGCTGCAGCTGCTCACCAACGCCAAGTCAGTGCTCCTTGCTAGAGTGAGAGGAACGATTGAAGTTATAAAGAATAGTGAGAGAGGAACGATAATTCCAGACACAAACAGCCTGGATAGGATAGTCTTTTGTTTTGTGACGTAAAAATGATACAATATTTCTTCTTTGTGACGGGGATGGTCTTTTGTTTTTTTCTAATTAATTTCTTTGTGATTTAGAAATGGTACAATCTCTATTTCGATTTCTCTCTATAAGACTGCAGAGATAACGTATTCTAATTCCTACAAAATATTGTTCTTTTGCAGGATTCTTATAATGGGGACTCAAGAGAGACTTGGAGTTAATATCCACGTTGATCAGGTAACAGTCTCACTATAACTAATCAGATTATAAAGGGGTTAACTTAGTTATAAGAACATTTGATATAAGGATCTAGCGCTTATGGCTATTGCAATTGTTCTTAAAATTTTCCTACATTAAAACATAGACATATAGGTCTTTTAATTATTATTTGATATAGATGAGTATAGAATAATCTAGAATTTATTTCCGTCAGTTAATGGACGGCATCGCCAACAGCTGCCCTAACTTGGAACGCTTGGAGCTGCGCTGGGATCCTGAGAATTTGCGGTTCAGTGACAAAAGTCAAAAGGCCATTGACATCCTACGAGTCAAGTGTCTCAAGTTAAAATGTCTCGTCTTGAGGTAAGGAAGATCTGGTTCTAAATGTCCATTTCCACAAAGCTTCTTTGCGCGATTTAAGTCGACTTCCATTAGCACGACTGCAAATACCAATCTAGCTATTACTTTTAACAGTCCTTCCTCACAATTCTGTGAGTTATAAATATTGCAAACTACCCTTCGCCCGCGACTCAGTCCGCGTGGAATTAAAAAAAACACACACACACAAAAATTAATAGCCTATTTGTTCTTCCAGAATATCCTCTACATCTATACCAAGTTTCATCAAAATCCGTTCAGCTGTTTAGGCTTCAAACTCTAACAAACATCCATCCATGTAAACTTTCCCGTTTATAACATTAAGTATTAGTATGATAGTCATGTTTTTTTATTTTCTAGCGATGGCAGATACTACGAGATTGTGAAGGCTAACTTCGAGCGGGCAGACAGACTGACCGTCGTGAGGACGTCGACAAACTGCCAGGTTTCTAACTATTACTTGCTCTCCAACTACAAGGACCTCATTTTCAACTAGAATCTTGTCTTAGCAATAAAGAAGTAAATGTGGAGAGCCTATAAACACTTAAAACATTTTGTAACGTACTGTTATTTTATCATTAATAAAATGTTTCAAAATACCTACGCGTTTTCTTTTTTCTTTATTACATTTTTTTCTCCTACCTACAGTTGGCTGTAGGTTCGAGGTTTTGGGAAATAAAACAAAGCATACTACTAAATAAATCGTTTATTTACAATTTAATGAAAAAATTACCATTTTTATAATTTTTTTCTTCGTCCTCGTCACCGCATTAGTTTCGAAAATTATTAAAAGCTATTTCTAAATAACTATTTACAAATAGCTTCGTTAACGTTTGCAACAGTAACTCAGTTATATTCAGCTTAGGCGGGAGATGCACTAGCGATTTTTTTTGCATTTCAAATAACGTGAACATTCTTTTAGACAGCAATAAAGATAAAAAGGACTACGCGAGACAACTAACTTAAGACCTAACAGATGCCGCACATCAATGTACCCACACGTCACAATACAAAATTTAAACCTCAAATCACAGGTAGCCAACTGATTCGTTATATATATGTATATATATAGAAAAAGAAACAAATAACTTACTATACAAAAATAAAATTACCACTGAAAAAACTCGGATTCTAAGACTCATTAATTAATTTTAGTCTAGGTTTTGTAAATGTTCATTGATCAGTCACCTGACACCGTCGCCTAGCAACAGATCTGGCTCCTCTTCAAGGAGGAGGTTCTGATTGTTGCTGTTCTCCTCATTACCGGCCTCTGAATTATTATCTTTGTTTGGGTCGGTTTCAATCTTATACAATATGTCGTGACACAATGGACACCTGTCCTGAACGTAAAG